ATATACCGATGACGCGCCAAACTTGGTTTAACGTCGAACTACTTGTTGGATATTGGTCGAAAAGCCAATATCGAAACAACGTCGGCTAATAACGTTATGCAAACATCGAATCTCCATCTAAATTATACATATAAAAAGGCCGCATTTTATAATCTGGCATATTATTATTTAAGTTGTAAAAAACAAACGCTGTAGATACTCTTAACTATTTTTTGCATATTGTACATATTTTTATATACATTTGCACTATCAAATATATTTATATACATATACATTATAAAATATCTATTAATATTGCTTAGTTTATAAATTTACTTATTAATAATTTATTATTAGTGTGAACTATTTATATCTCAGAAGTATTTATATTTCTGTAAATATTTTATATATATATATATATATATATATATATATATATATATATATATATATTATACTAAAATACACAAGCAAAATATTTATGAACAATTTGTTTTAATTTGTATAAACTTTATAATAAAGTACATAAAAATATTGCTTGATATATATAATTTATTGTTGATCATAAGTAGCTAGAAATGTTTACCTTTTAGAAATATTTAAATAATAATTATAACTTATGATTATTTTTTTTCTTAGTCTCACTTAATATCAAATTAACAAAAAAACTTGATGCTAAATTTTTAATAGTTGAATCAGACTTTAAATATTTTATTTGTTTTTCAGAAAATAGTTATTAATATAGCATCAAACTTTACAAAATGGAGAAGAGTCAGAGGGCAAGTTAAGAAAGATATGTTAGAGATTGAATTTGCATGCGAACAAGAAGAAATAACAATTAACAGTATAGCAGCAGATAACAAAGTAATATATGTCAAAGACTATAATATTGTTAATAATAATGATGTTTATCAAAATGAAACAAATGCTACTGCCTTTAATTATGAAGTGGATTGTGAAAGCAATTATCAGAGTGAAGTCATAGGTAATGATACATTCGATGATGATATTGATATAATATACTTTGACGATGAAGAAAATGAAGATGATTTAGAAAGTGATGATGTAATAGATAATGCTGACAGCAGAGAAACATTTGTGAAATCATTAGCAAAATGGGCAATAACTTTTAGAATTCCCTTGGTTGCTATTAGAGCGCTTCTTCTTTTGTTAAGACCTTATTTTCTTTGTATTCCTAATGACCTATGAACACTTTTAAAAACCCCAAGAAATGTAAATGTTCGAAAACTTCGAAGTGGTGGAGAATATGCTCATTTAGGTTTATAAACTGGAATTAAAGAAACAGTTAACAATTGTTTACTTGACTGTCTAAGTTTAAGTATCTTGGAAATCCAATTAAGCACAGATGGCTTACTTCTATTTAAAAGTAGTACCACTAGTTTTTGGCCAATACTTGGAATGGTAATAAATATTGAAAATATAACAGTGTTTGTAATTGGAGGGTATTGCGGTCAAGCAAAGCCAGCAAGTGCAGAGGAGTTTTTTGAAGATTTAGTTGCAGAAACTTTCCTTCTCCTTCAAAATGGATTACTTATTAATGGAAAGCACTTTCATATAAAAATTCATTCATTTGTTTGTGATGCCCCAGCACGCGCATTTTTTAAAGGAGTTTAGTCCCATTCCGGATACAATTCATGTGAAAAATGTGATCAACATGGGGAATATGTAGGTAAAGTTATTTTGCCAAAAACAGATGCTCAATTAAGGACAGACAAAACATTCAATAAAAGGCGTGATGCAGCCCATCATACTAGTCCTTATTCCTTAGGATTACTTAAAATAGGGGGTGTCAGCCAGTTCGGATTGGTTTTTTTGCACTTGGGTTGCCTAGGAGTGATTAGAAGATTTTTACTTTATTCGAAAGGCCCTATTGGTCCACTACAAGTTCGCCTAGGTCCTCGAGAAGTTATCAAGTTGTCAACTAAATTACTGGGTTTTGTTGCTTACATTCCTTGCGAGTTTTCACGTAAACCTTGAGCGTTACGTGACATTATGCGTTGGAAGGCAACAGAATTTAGACTTTTTTTATTATATTTAGGTCCATCAGCATTGTCTAATATATTACCAGAGCCTCTTTTAAAGCATTTCATAATGTTACATGTTGCATGTTGAATTTTGACAAGTCGTCAATTTAAAAGAAACTGGGATTATGCTAATTAACTTTTAGTTAATTTTGTTGGTAAGGCATCTACTTTATATGGTCGTGAATGCTTGATTTACAATGTGCATTCTTTAGTGCATTTAGCTGCTGATGTAAACAATTTGGGGCCGTTAGAAAATTTCAGCAGCTTTTTATTTGAAAATATGCTTGGCAGTTTAAAAAGACTAATCAGAAAACCTAACCAGCCTATACAGCAGTTAGTAAAGCGGTTAGCAGAAAAACAAATCTTACAAGTAATGCAAAATGCAAATATTCAAAGTTAACTCAACCACACTTTGATGGGCCACTTTTGATATCTGATGATTTTATTGGAAAACAATTTTTAAAACTTCAAACTCCAAAATGGCATTTTTCAACATCTGATGGTAATAATTGTTTTATGCCTAAATATGGAAACACGATTTTAGTTAGGAATATTTATTTATTATATTAATAGTTTATTGTGCAAACAGTTTAACAAAACTTTTGATGCATTTATATCTCCGATGCCTTCTTCAAAAGTAAATATTCTAAAAGCTGTTAATAATGATTTTTCAGCATTATGCGAATACCAGCTTGCTGATATTGCTTGTAAATGCATCTGTGTTCCTGATGTAAATGATACTTATTTTATTACTCCATTTCTTCATTCTTTTTGACATTTATCAGAGATGATAAATAACTTTTGAAGTTAATTTTTCTCTTTGAAATTGTGTATTAAGTTTATTACAGTAATATTTTTAATAAATTATTTATTTAAATGATAATTTATTTTACTTTTAAAGTAAAATAAATGAACTCTTTGAAAGTGTGTGTTTTGATTTTGCCTACAACCAGTGTATAACAATTTATTTATATATTTTTTCCATTTTTTGTATTGTATTTGACTATATGATATTAAAAGTGTGTTTGTGTGTGTGTATACAGGCTTTGTTTTAAAGCATTATTTTTATTAATGCTTTATATATTTTATTATAAAGCAATTTTAAGAAGTTAGCAATTTCAGTGAAGCAATTTTTTTTTTTAATTATTCTAATAATATTAAATGAAAAATAAAAAATGCTTGATCTCAAAAAAAGGTTGAGAAAAGAAGAAAATAAAAATAGCTCTATGCTTAATGCTCAAAACAAGGCCTGGTATATATATATATATATATATATATATATATATATATATATATATATATATATATATATATATATATATATATATATATATATATATATATATATATATATATATATATATATATATATAAAGGGTTGTAGAGAACCAAGATGGCCCCGGGGCCTTAAATTGATCCGGGTCCCGGGACAATATACCCCTGACCCCCCCTCCTCTACGGCCATGCATATATATATATATATATATATATATATATATATATATATATATATATATATATATATTTATATATATATATATATATATATATATATATATATATATATGTATTCATATATATTCATAATATATATATATATATATATATATATATATATATATATATATATATATATATATATATATATATATATATTTTATTTTTTTTATTTTTGTGATTTGTTTAATTTGCTATAAAAAGATTAAAATAATATCAAAATAAATAGTTATAAAAATAAAAATAATAACAAATATACAAATTAAATTGAATAATAATAATTAGTTGTAGTAAAAATATTTTAGTATTTTGTTTTGTTTTATAGTTTTTTGTTTTGTTATATTTTTGTTTTGCTATATAGATACAGTTTAATGCAACTGTTGTCTGATTTTAATAAGTTTTGTCTGGCATTAATTTAAAAAGACATTTGTGTGGGTAATGTTATACTAATAGTATTTTAATGCTATTGTTGTTTCAACAGAAAAATGTCAATGTGTTTGACTTCCTTATTTTTTTATTGGTATAAAAAGAGCATTTTTTATCATCTATCCATTATCAAGTCATCTGGAAAAAGTGACTTTAAGGTTAGTTACATTAATAGCTTTATTTTTATATATTATATTTAACTTGATATTTTGTGATATCTATAATTTAGAAAAATACTAACTTCTCTATTTTCTTTTTTTAATTTTCAAAATCACTAGTTAAAGGAACAATTAATTAATTAACAATGTTATTTTAAAATGGAAAACTCTAAACAGCACTAGTTATTATTAGTTTTTATTTGTTGGAAAAAGTGTAACTTATAACAAAAATATCACACATTTATTTGTATTATTTGATTTATTTTTGTATTTTGTTATATTATTTTATTTTACTATTGCTTATTTATATTTTTCATATTTTTTTTTTACTAACAGTTTTTTTAGTTATAATTAGCTTTATATAAATTATTATAATTTATATAATTATATTTTTTTTTTTTTATATATTTTATTTAATTATATATTTATAACTCTTTTTTTTTTATATATTTATAATTTTTTATTTAAAATAATTATATAATTATAATACTCTTTATAATTATTTACATAAATAGCTGTATAAATTATTTTTCTTAATTTCAAATTTTAACAAAAATACTTTAATTTTTTGTTTCAGATGAGCTTTGCAATTTTGCATTTTAGAATAGAGAATTCTGTGACAGTTGTACCAGTTAGCTGGCTCGGAGAGAAGCCTGAAACTTGTTATTAGCCCAACCATTTACGTGCTACACGTCTAGAAATGTCAGTGAAGCAAAGATAACCCCCAAATGCTGATTGGGAGTGTCTAACTGAAGCCAGAGTTTTACATCGTTATGGTTACTATATTTAAAATATTTTTAATAATTTCAAAGAGTATTTTAAATGGTACTTAGTTAATTTTTTGAATTAAATAAAGTAAAAAATTTTATATGCAGATACGTAAGCACAAGCTAGATCTAGTTTAGCATGTGCAGAACTGGATACATCTGTTTTGGATTCAGATTATGTAAAAAATCCTCAGCAAAGTAAGCAAAGGCGTAAAACAGTTTTTGCTGATTGGGTTGATTCTGATGATGATGAATTTATTGAACCAGTGCCCAGTGAAATTGCCACAGCCAGGTTTATATTTTATAATAATAGTTTTTTTTACTATTAATAATTTGTCAATTACTTTATTATCAGTATGGGTTTCTACCATTAGTGATTAGTTAATGAGTATGTTTAATTGTAAAAACTTGATTGCAATTATGTAAACAGTTTTTAATGAGTAAAAACTGAAATTGGCTTTTTATAGAGATAAAAAAAAATGTGCAAAAAGTTAGCACTGAAAAATCACTAAGTCTTATTTCGACAAAAACATTAACAACAAAAAATAGATCTGCAGCGTCACAATCTAACAACTTATCTACAGAAACATCATGTAGGCTTATTTTATGTACATGTAACTTAATATGACACCTGATATACTTCTAATGAAGTTTTATACTTTTGTATGAAAATTTATATATATTTCTAAAGTTTTTTTTTTTACACTTGAAATTAAAATAAAACTAAAATATAAATAAAATAAAAACCACAGTTGTTGTTTACTATTTCTTATATTTAGCATCTAATTCAGGCATCAATTTGGCATGTGCAGAACTGAATACATCAGCTTTGGATTCAGATTATCTAAAAAATCCTGAGCAAAGTAAGCAAAGACGTAAACGAGTTTTTGCTGACTAGGTTGATTCTGATGATGATGAATTTATTGAACCATTACCCAGTGATTTTCCACAGCCAGGTTTATATTTTATAATAATATTGATTTTTACGATTAATAATTTGTTGATTACTTTATTATCAATATGGGTTTCTATCATTATTGATAACTTAATATGTAATTTCAATTACAAAAACTTGATTACAATTATGTAAACAGCTTTTACTAATGAGTTTTTTACAGTAGTCAAAAACGTTTTGCAAAAAGTTAACACTGAAAAATCACCAAGTCTTATGTCAACAAAAAATACATCTACAGCATCACAGTCTAACAACTTGTCTACAGTAATTTCCTGTAAGCTTATTTTATGTACATGTAAATTAATATGACTTTTTTGCACGAAAAATTATTATCCACAGTTGTAGTTTAATATTTCTTTATATTTAGCATCTAACTCAGCTCTGCCTTTAATTCTCTCTAAACTAGCCGCTATACAGCATGAAGTGAGTCATATTGTTCTGGTTCAAAATAATATTTTTAATGCATTGCAATCACTAATTGTTGTGCAAAAAAAGTTCTTCCTGACGGTCTTATATTGCCGAATGCGACCTTACTGGATCTCAATAATGTTGAGATCAAGTTAAAAAATAAAGAAACTGTTCAAACTGTTGTAAGTATAATTATTTGTTTTCAACTGAATTAAATTATGTTAATTTAAAAAACGTTTCCTTGTCATCGCTAAAAATTGTTTGTTCTGAGTTCCTTAAAAGACCATATATAGAATATGTATGTATATCATTAAAGTTTTATTTATTTTGACTTTGAAGAGTAACTACCTGGGAGTGACTGGAGGCACTGATGTGTTCAGTACGGCACGTCGAATTTTAGCTAAAGTTTAATACAAACGAACTTGCTTCAAAGCTAAATTGGGCTGGGCGTGGCCGAAAAATGGGTGTCAAAAACCTTAACATTGTTGTTTGCGTCAAAGATAAGATTTATTTAAACTTATTTAAACAAACTTGTGTAGTAGTGGTGTATTTTTAAAAATTGAGCAATTTTGTTAATGTTTCTTTTTTTTTTTTAGTTGCTGTTTATTTGCACAAAGCTATAAAAACAACCGATGGCGTTATAGAGCAAAGCATAAAGTCCTGGCTAAGATATGCCTTAGATCGTTCTGGCGGGCGGAATGCTGCAGAAAGAGAGGCAAAAAGAATTTTGTCAAGTCATGTTGAAACAAGTGAGACAGAACAACTGATGATTACGATAATGCTAGTGCTAGTCGTCAATAGCCATTACACATCAGTACACATCACATCTACACTGACCTTTAGAAATTTTTATTAACAAGTTTACCAGTTTTTTTTATTGTAAATTTTAAATTATGAAGATAAAGTATGTTCATTTGTTTTGCTGTAGTATATGATACAATAAAGTTTGAATGTCCGATTTCGGACGTTCGCGTTGAAGTTAGTTTAAGTTTGGGCCATGACTTTAAACCCATGCCTGGGTTTAAAGTTATTTCTGTTCAATAAACCAATAAAATTGGCGTCAACCAACGTTTAACCGATGATGGAACAACATTAAGATTACGTCGGACAAACTAATATATAAAACGTTGTTCCAACATAAAAACGATATTAGTTCGATGTTTGAAAAATACGCTATAACAACGTCTAAACGATGGTTGGGCTCAAGTCGCGCCGATTTTCAAGTTAACGTTTTGCCAACGTAAGTTTGCGATGGTCGGCCCATCTAATTCCCGATGTTATTTTAATGTCGGAAAAACGTAGTTGTGCCATCTGGGAAATATATTAAGAAAATAATAATAATAACTTTGATTTTTAAATAACTTATCATTTAAATAAATAACTTATCATTTAAAAATAAGGCTAAAATACCTGAAACACAAAAACTAAAAATATTATTTAAAAAAAAAAATAATAATAAAAATTTTTATATTTTTTAAATTATTAAATATAAATAAACATTTATATTTAATAAATAAGTTTATATTCAAATTATATTACCTTTATTTGTTTGTTTTTTTTTGCTTTTTTTTTTGCTTTTTTTTTCGTGAGATGGCATGGTCTTCCATGAATCCATTCTAAACGTCTAACCCCTAATACTATGAATGGATGACCATTAAATAAAATTTGTTGTTCAAGGTTCGGTTCTACTTTTTTGTCTTCAAACAATATTTTATGTTTTATCAATTCAAACTCAAAAATTTTAAGAGTAAATTAAAGCCCCTCACCTAAAAATTACTTGTGTAATTTTAGTTTTAAACTATAATAAACAAACTTTTTAACTAAACTATATACAAAGTTAATTTACTTTTAACAAATGTTACTGATAAAACTAATATTTATTAGTATACTATAATATATTATAATACATTATAGAAAGTAACATAGAGTATATACTTTTGGTCCAAACTTCTTTGTCGACCATGTAAACTGAAAACTTTAAAGATGTTTGTTGTTCAAAAGTGATAATATGAACAGTAGCTTCCTCCAAATTATTATAGATACCATATTTATCTGAATTAATAATTAAGTAACCAATTTAATTAATTATAAAACAACCTCCAACTACAGTTGTAAAGTAATATCAGGTTCTGTCAACTTACCTTATAGAACCTGATACTGATTTGAGTTAAGTATCTTGGTAGCCATTCAGCAACAACAAAAAATGTTTAAATATTTGACAGCAGCAGTTTTATCAAAAGGTTAAGAGTTTGTGTTACAAATAAAAACTGTAAATAAATCACATCCTTATAATATTAGGATGTGATTTACCAAAAAAATTATAACCTATTACTAGTAACAATATTTTTTAAACAGTTGCTTTTTGTGATAAATACTGTATATGGATATTTTTTTATAATAAATGTAACTTAATCTGTCATTTTCTCAAACGCGATAATTAAACAATTTCTATTTACCTATCTGATATCTTTTTATTTTATTTGGTTCAACGGTCATTTTAAAAATTTTTGAAATATTTGCATAATCTGCGACAATCTTTAAACAGCGAGTTCTCATTCGGGTCATTAATTTTCTTAAAAATCCAAACGTCGGGATAGGTTTTTAATTCTATCATCTTCCGAAATAAACTATAAAATATAATAGTCTACTATGCTGAATTATATAATAGTTTGAAATCGCCTACCATGATAAGAAAAGGCAATCAGCAATATTTTGTTTTTTATTTCCTCCCATCTTCCAGCATAAATAAGATTCAACCCAAAAGTATTACCAAACAACTGACATAATTATGTAGCAAGAATGCATCTCTAAATTAAAAGGCGAGAAGCCTTTCAATTTGTTGTAAATATTTATCTGCAAAAAAAGATATGCATAAAATATACTCATTACTCATATAAAAAAAATCAGACAAATTTAGTTTTCCAAATGATCACTGATGACTATATTGAAATAAGATTTGATGAAATTCGCCATACACATGCAAACTATAACATCTGTGATTCAAATATTTTAAAAAATTAGTCTTCCAAATTACTAGCAAGGTTTTTGAATTTTATTAGCATAATTATTAGCAAGGTTTTTGAATCTTAAAATAACAAACATATAATATCTCGTCTTAAGTTTAACAACTTATTTTCTGACAATCTTGCGATAAATCCTGGAAACAAGCGATAAATAATAGAGGCCATAATCAAGTCCTGGTTTCATGTTATCAGCACTGAAAATTTAGAGGGCTCAAATTTAGAGAAATTTAGAGGGCTCAATGCCTCGAAGGATTGTTGCAGTAATAAAAAATCATGGATATCCAACAAAATATTAAGTTTTTTTTTTATAAGTCATTTATTTAACTACATGTTTTGTAAGCTGTAAATGTACAATAATTTGCCACTTTCTCATTAAATTG